CATGACTACACTATATTGACAGGGGATCTTCGAATGCTGCCTTAGAGTGTCCCACAACATCTCTCACTTTGCCACATCTATTTATCTGTTTTCTTTATTTTCTATGATTATCATGTGTCGTAGCTATCCAGGATATACCCAACAAATGGACGCATATCACTTATTCAATTGGTGATTTTACAGACGACCAGATGTTCATAGAAAATAAAGAAAACAGATAAATAGATGTGGCAAAGTGAGTACAGAAGTTGTGGGACACTCTAGGGCAGTCGAATTAGCATTCGAAGATCCCCTGTCATAGTATAGTCATGATCCGATAGGGCGTGAAAATGCGCGGAGCGGACTGCAGCGCATGCAAGGCGCCCTTTTTCCACCAATAATGCTATCCTGGGTTCATGCAGCTGATGGGAAGTCTGATCTGGCTGCGCTCCGAACCATACCCAGCCGCACCCTCTATCTTCTTGCAAGGTTCATGACGGTACATCAGGGGAATCGATGGAATATATTCAAGAGGCTGTTCTGGACAACAGAAAGCAAAAAAAAAATATAACACAATTTTGTCTGATTCACAACCGTACTGAGTTACCGATATCTTCTCCGGATAGTACAGCCTAGGTAGTGGCCGTGTCCCTCCTGGGCAGTGTCTCGCACGCAACTCACACAGCACCCTTTTGAAAACCTTTCAATCACGAACTGCAAAAGAAGTGGTCAGTTCAGAAGGAAAAGTTTCCATTTCAGTTTCCCGAAATCCCATCGTTGTGCGTTGAAATATTCGATGAGCTACGGTCCTGACTGGAAGCATGTGGCCGGCTCCACTGAAGGACTGTCAGCCACCTGCTATCGAGGAGAATCCTATCGATTTGTACCTGATCTTCCCATTACCGCCACGTTCTCCAGCACTAGTCCATACAAATGTAAGTATGAACTCCTTAACTTTGCTAACTATTGCATGCATATCTATATTAACATGTTCTTAGGGCCTCAAATAGTATTTTCGTGCTACGGTAATGATCTACTGGGACATGACGTTGTTCGAGGATACGGTGCACTTCCAATACCAACAATTCCTGGGAGGTATGTATGTATCTCTTTTTATAAATAAAAAGCTATTGATACATCGACAATGGAGTCTAGAAGCACTCCGCTTCACATGCCTGAAACAGGGTCGGCGCGGCTGCTCACTTCATTTCAACATGACGTAAGATGGATTATTCGTGAGACATTTCCATTGGTTCTGGTCTTGTGTCGGGCGAAGATATGATTAGAATCGGACCAAATGAAAACATCTCGCTAATGTAGCGTTTATATTAGGTTGTTCGGAAAGGAATGCGCGTTTGAGTGTAAAAAAATTTTTATTATAAAAACGAAATTAAACAAGGTCAATCTAAAAGATAATCTCCATTACTAGCAATGACTTGTTGCCAACTGTACGCAAAAACTTCGCCAAAAGAGCCTCTTTCACTACTTTTCCCCTCGGGTGTGTCGTTAGGTCCGGTGGTGACGTCCGTTCCTCCAAGTGGTGCCACCGGGACCTGCTCGCTTTTGCGGGCTGAGCAGAACACGGACGAACTCGAAAGCAGGCGACAGGCCTTCGTGACGGGCCGGCTTACGAACACCCCATGTCACATCATCATGTTCAACTATGCCTTATGAATTACGAGATAATGCTACGGCGTCCGCGGGAGCCGACGCGCACTCGTATGGCCCGGCGAGTGTGGAAAGTATGCGAGGGTCCTCGTTGCAAGGACGGCATCGGGGGGCAACCAGGCTAGTCCGAAAGACGTGCAATGTGTTGAAGGCTCGTATTGCGACGCTGAATGTAGGGACGCTGACTGGACGCTCGTATGAGTTAGCAGAAGCCCTAGAGCGTAGAAAGATCGACCTCTGTGCCGTGCAAGAGACGAGATGGGCTGGCTGCAAGTCGAAAGAGTTAGGCCGCGGCTTCAAAGCCGTTCTTTGTGGCGGGCCGAAAACTACAAGTGGTGTGGCCGTGATCGTGTCTCAGCGATTTCGCGATACGATTGTGAGCGTAGATCGTTTCGACGACCGTTTAATGAGATTGTTGTCGCTATTGAAGCAACGACTTTACCACTTCTTCTCTGCATATGCCCCACAAACTGGATGCTCTGAGCAGTCCAAGGACGAGTTCTGGGCTCTGCTGGACGAGAAGACGGCTGAAGTGCCACCAAAAGACGGTATCATTGTAGCCGGCGATCTAAACGGACACGTGGGCGCTGCAAAAGACGGCTATGCTTGTCATGGCGGATTCGGTTACGGTTCACGGAACGCCGATGGTGAGCGAGTCCTTGAGTATGCAGAGTCGCATAACCTCGTCATTCTGAACACAAGGTTTCGTAAACGTGACTCTCATCTTATCACGTTCTACAGCGGGAGTACCAAGACACAAATAGACTTCGTACTCATCAGGCATGGCGACCAAGGACTCGTGACAGACGCTAAGGTAGTACCGTATGAAACGGTTGCCACGCAGCACCGCCCACTTATCTGTACGCTCAGACTTGTAGCTCCCAGATCGAGGCAGGCAGAACGATGCGGTCCTGAAAGAATAAAGTGGTGGCGACTCAAGAGCGGGAGGCAGCTGTGATTTCTCGTATTCGACTACCTGAAGTCACAACTGTTCAGGAGACCTGGAACGAAGCCGTTAATTCTATAATCCAGGCCGCCCGCTCCGAACTCGGCACAACGAAGCCTGGACGGCGGAGGATTGACAAAGAGGCATGGCTCTGGACGGACGACGTCAAAGCGAAGGTTCGAGAAAAGAAGAGGCTCTATCACGCGTTTCTCGAGCACAAGTCGGCTGACAACTGGCGGCAGTATCGGGAAGCGAGGAATGTGGCAAAGACGGCCGTGGCTGCTGCGAAGGCCGCTCACTTCGATGATATCAGCAAGAAGCTGGAGACGCGCGACGGTGAGCGGTACCTGTACGGACTTGCCAAATCTCGTCATCGCCAAACCGAAGACATTGAGAAGTTTTTTGGCATAAGTGATGAGAATGGCCACCTTCTGATGGACCGAAAAAGGGTATTACAACGATGGCGTGAATATTTCGAGGGCATCTCAACGGTGGAATTCGCCCATCCCGCTCTACCCTGCACAGCACCAACATATGGTCCCGTTCAGAAGATCACCGTACAGGAAACAGAAGCTGCTCTGAGGAAGATGAAGCCGGCAAAGTAACAGGCCCCGACGACATAGCAGCTGATTTGTGGAAGTCACAACGCTGGTTTTCTGCGGGTTGGTTGACGAAACTCTTCAACCAGATCGTCGAAGAGAAGAAGGTGCCCAAGGACTGGCAGCAGAGCGTGACGATCCCGATTTGGAAGAAGAAGGGCAGCCCGGCAGATTGCTCGAACTACCGTCCAATTCGCCTTCTCTCGCACACTATGAAAATCTTTGAGCGAATTGTTGACGCCCGCGTTCGTGATATCGTCCAGCTTTCCACCAATCAGTGTGGCTTCGTGGCGGGTTGTAGCACCGTCGACGCCATACATGCCGCTCGCCTATTGCTGGAGAAACACCGTGAGAAGCGAAAGCCCGTGCATGTAGCCTTCCTAGACCTGGAGAAGGCATTCGATCGTGTGCCGCGTGATGTTATATGGTACGCTTTGAGGCGGCACGGCGTGCCCGAAGAGCTAATTGAGTGGGTGCGCATCCTTTACTCATGCCCAGGGAGCCAAGTTCGCTCACCAGCGGGTGTCTCAATGGAGTTCCCCATCACCGTCGGGGTACATCAAGGCTCTGCGCTCTCCCCACTTCTTTTCGTTGCCGTCATGGATGCCATCTCACGAGATCTTCAGAAGGAAGTGCCTTGGACCCTGCTTTACGCTGATGATGTGATGCTTGCTTGTGAAGATAAGAGCGCACTGGAACAGCAGGTGCAAGCTTGGGCCGAGCGTCTGGCGAAGTTTGGACTCAGGTTGAACGTCAACAAAACCGAGTACCTGACAACCGACCCAAATGAGCCGGGCTCCATTAAGATCGATGACACGGTGCTCAAGCGCACGGAAACATTCAAGTATCTCGGATCAGCACTTGCGTCCGACGGCAGTCTGAACTCGGAAGTGAGCGCACGAGTGAGTGCCGCGTGGTCTAAGTGGCGATCCATGTCCGGGATCCTTCCTTCGCGACAAGAAAATGCCAGAGCGGTTCAAATCAAAGATCTATCGTACTGTCGTCCGACCTGTCGCGTTATATGGTGCCGAGTGCTGGCCCGCGACCAAAGAAGTTGAGGCTCGCCTTGGTGTGATGGAGATGAAGATGTTGCGCTGGACGGCGGGCGTCACGCGATCGGACCGCATCTGTAATGATGTCGTGCGCAAGAAGTATGGTGTAGCCCCCATAGCGGAGAAAATGCGTGAAACGCGCCTTCGATGGTATGGGCACGTACTTCGCGCAAAGGCTGACACCGTCCGGAAAACTGCTCTCGAACTCGAGGTACCAGGAAAGCGGCCAAAGGGCGTCCCAAACAGCGCTGGCTCGACACGTTGCATACCGACTTGAAAATAGCCGGCATTCACCCTGATCAGGCATCCAATCGGGAAAAGTGGCGTAGTTGTATCAAAAGAGCGGACCCCGCGATCAAGCGGGACAAACGCTGAAGAAGAAGAAGAAGAAAGTGTGTCGTTAGGTCCGCCGGAGAGGAAATGTAGGTCAAAAGAGCCTCTTTTTGCCAGTTTTCTCGCCGAGTGTGTCGCTAGGTCCGCCCGCTGCCCCTGTGAGCCGAGTGGGTCATTAGGTCCACCCAAGTGCGTCGTTAGGACTTGCTTGAAGTCTTACCACATACAAGCTCGCATTCGAAATTTTTGGTCGAGCATTTTCTAAACTTTTTTTTCTCTAAAAAAACAAGGTAGACATAGAAAAAATATATCAAAAGATGCGCAATAAAAACCTCTCTCTAATGGACAAAACTGTTTTGAAAAATCTCCTATAGTAGAAGAGAAATAAATAGACAAAGTCAACGCGCATTCCTTTCCGAACAACCTAAATACTTCGCGACAGCAGCGGCGATCGCACGACGCTATCACTTGGACCACTCGCTTGATAAATAAGGAAATCCAACTTGTGAGACCTCACATAAGAGGATCTGGAATATGAGGTGGGGGAGGGGGTTTCACCTTTTTTTAGGTCGGGATGAAGGCATCTTCCCTTCCTAGGTGAGCTTCTCCTTGTTTCCATTGTTTCAATTCGTATAAGTCTTAAAAGTTTCCTTCTGTCTGAACTGTTCCAATTTCCAAAACATTTATAGTTTACAAGTCGAATTCAAGCAACGAAAAGAAGAAACAGAACGAAGCTCATTTAGAAACCGAAACACTAATTCTTTTATGCAATATCAAGAAGGGAGGAAACTTTATAACTCTATGTATAAGCTCGAAGAATGGAACAAGAAACAATAAAAACTCCCTACTTGAAGCTCACACGCTTTTTGCTCATTTCTATCCTGAATAAAAAAGAAAATAGAAAACAAAAGCCATTAAGTTGGGTCCACCTTTCCTTGTGTCAAACCAAGCTTCAGTACCTGAGACAATTGCAATTAAAAGAAAAAAAAGCATGAAATTGAGTCGATTCTTCCTAAAAGCACTCGGAGCGGTCCAAGTAATAGCGTTGGGGCGCGCTCTGCCACGTACCGACGATCGCCGCGATCGCCGCTGCTGTCGCGAAGTATGAACGCTGCCTAAAACCACAGTCGCCGCAACGTTCGAGTGGTGTATGGGGCCACGCCTACCGCGCCTCAGGGTTTGGCGTATAAAAACGGAGGACGGCCAGAAAAAAAACACCTCAACTCATGACGTGTACCATGGGGGTTGAATTTATGTCACACAAGATACATGGAAGGCAAGGTTGAATATTTCAAATCTGTTCCTCTTCAAGCAATACAAGCCCTCTCTCAGAGCTCAAGAAGGTCTAGGCCTACCTCCGTCAGATGCATAGCTTTCACGATAGAGTCTCTCGTGGGCAGGTTCCATACGCGAGCACTCTCACACTGGACCGTCCAGCCATTTCTGCCATGGTTCATGTTTCATCTTTCATCACTAGATCCAACGAGATAAGTGGAGCATTCGTGAACCTGTGTTCTTGTGTTCGGCGGATTTGGTGCAAGGACTTGAACTAGTCTCCTACGTAAATGTCCACAGTACCTCGTAACTCCGTGCGAAGGAAACTCTAAGAAAACGTTCCCTGAACGAAGTGTCTCTTGTTGTCACTCGCCCCCTTCTCCTCCCCTCTGCCTATGGGGTAAACACCTTGGATGGTGGCGATGGCGCTGTCGAGTTCGCTTTGCTACTTCACAACTAACATTTTCAATGCTGCGCTTTCCATAGACTCTCAACCGTGATTTTTTTCTTTTTTCAAGTCCTTTTTTAGCTCAGACGCTGGGGCGTATCAGGGGCTATGCCTGGCGTGACGTCGGCCCCTTTTCTACCAAGTGTTAATGCTTGCGTGCCTAAACAATTCGTGGAAAAAGGGTTGGCGCAGCGCCAGACCAAGCCCCCCCCCCCACCTTGACACGCATCAGCGCCTGTAGCGCAAATGGTTGTACTCTCCAGTATACTCTTACGCCACCTTCGTCGTCTTTTTTGACTTTGTATGCTACTCTCGCAAACTTCTCACAATGGTTATACAGGTGATATCGTCGCAATCAGTGTGAGCGGGGTTAGAAAGAATGGAATGAGGCACATGGCGCATTCCATGGGTGTTGATCAGCGCATCTTTGCTGCAGCTCCTCTTCACTACATGAGGAGAAGGAGGAGGAGGTGAAATGGAGGCCTACCGAGCTTTCTAGATGCGTGAGAAAATCCTCGTGCTGCAGCTGAGCTCATTACCACGTGGAAATCTGCGACCGCTAAATTTTCGCTGTAATTGAGCTACAGCGAAGATGTTGCACTCACTCAAAAGAAAAAATCTTCTGGTTTCCAATGCCGTCTAGGTCTCCGTTCTATGTTATGTCTGAACGAAGTTAGTTCCACTGAAAAAATCAAGAACTCGCGTTCGCTTGAAATTTTCCTCCTTATTTTCTGGCTGGAAGCCGTCATGCAAGCTTGGTGAAACCTGTAGTGTTCCTATAGAGCCTAGCCATACAGATTGAAGAGTCCTCATTGTCTCTGCTGGAGATGGTTCCTGAATGAAGTTAAGAAATTTTATGTGAATGCTATGGGTGCGTGACGCGGTCGCAACACGCTCAATGCCTCGGCTTTATGTTGTTTCTTTGGATGGTGTCTCAAAGTTTCTCTTTGAGCATTACACCACTTCTGATCCTCAAGTTTTCGGTGCTCTTTTTTGATTGGTTTGGTAAATGTTCCTAAATACTCAGTTACTCATTCGGCGAAATTCGCATAACACACAACATATACTGCTGTACACAGTAGATACCTGCGCACACTCCGCAGTCACTAAGGGTGTAGAGGTGGGGCGTACGGACACTCCTTTCTGGGGTAGCGCTCAGAAAGGAGTGTCCGTAGGACCCTCGTACCAACCCACCAATTTCCCGCGGCACGATGCTTCACTCTAGCTCGGAGTCGCAGCTTCACGAGAAAACTGTCACAGTAGCTCCTAACCAAATGACTTGGCACAACGCAGGACTTCATAGACTGAATCCCTGCGCTTGCAACGCTTCCCTCCCCGCACTAGCCACAGCTCGCGCCAAGGGTGTTCACCCTATAAGTGAAATCGCGATTAGCCCATTGTAGTGACACGCACTGCTAACACTGTGTAGGGTTCAAACAGCTTCATGATGACACTTGGAAATAATTATGCTCACAGACTGCCGTAGGGTACCGCTTTTGTTTACAAGTTGAATTTCAGGTTTAGATACCCAATCTAATTGTAAGGGCAGAATGACGTGACTCAACTGAACGCTTTCTTTTTCTGGCCCCCTTGTACCCTTAACTTATTACCTGCAAAAAATATTCTATGCTGTAACCTCCCGAGTAGAGAGTACGCAATGCTGAACGAAGACTATTATTTTCTGGTTCGCTGCGGATGATGTAGCATGTCCGTGCGGCTGCGTTTAGCGTGCCACAAAATCCATTGTTCTTCATTTGTTCAAGTAGGTAAGTGCAAAGGAGTGGTGGAAAACGACAAAAGAAAAAAAAAGAAAAAACGGGTTGGCCCCGCGCCAAACGCAGCCACGCGATCACGCCCCATCATCACGGCAAACGAGACTATAAGTCTTCAGCCATCTTATCTAACAGAGGAGTTTGAGTTTCCCGGTATAGTGGGATAAAGTAGCGCTTGAAAGAGTGTTTCTCGTTGTCAGATTGTTGTAGCTAACATTATGTTCTTTCAGCCATGTACGGATCGTGCCCTGTTTCGTGCCAGAGGCTTCTTCCACATATCAGAAATTTGTCGGCATTCTCAGTGGAAGACGACCGGAGTTTGTCGACCCTTCACACGTTGCGAGGGCAGACGCGCGTCATGGTGCGTTTCTTTGGCAAATTAGAAGATATTGTAACCAGAACGCGTCTTACGTTTGAATCCCCAGCGCGGGGGCCGTATTTCCTTCGAGAGGCTTGTCCTGATTGTAACGAGCACTTCACAATTTCAGCAACTCGAGTCACTACTCAAGGAAAATTGGTCGTCCGTGTGGATGTAATTTTGAAGGACATAGCTAAATTTGGCTTTCAAACAGTCCCACGTCGGGGAATCCCATCCAACGATCCGCCCGCGGCTGACTTGTCAGGATTGCGACTTGGCAAGCAAAAGGTAAGTTCATCAGAGGAGAAATATCAATTTATACCGCTCATACTCATAAGTTTCCAGAGGCCCGTTGAAGACCGCGAAGTGTCGACACCGGCTCAGAGTGACGACAAAGTCGTAGAAGAAGCACCGTCAACTCTACCACCCGAAGACATGCCACGGTCACTGCCAACCCTAGAGGATTGATGGGGCATTCAAAATATCCTTCTTTGCTCACGCTGTACATATTATTATACATAATGAAACTTTTCTTAGCCAATTTCTAAGGTTCAAAGGCTATAACCGTTTGAGAGGTTTGGCTGATCTGCGTAAATTCTCCTCTCCTAAGCCGTATAGCGCCGACTGTTGGTGACAAATGCGGCACTGTGAGTAAAAAAATGCTGGGGTATAACACAACCAAGAAAATGAGATTTTCGTCGGAGATCACGAGAACAGATCGCGCTTCAAGTGGCATCGGACCATGATTGCTCCAAAAAGCAAGAAATTAAG